ACTACCTACTACCCTACTACTACCTACTACTACCTACTACCTACTACTACCGACGACGACTAGGCCCCCTGAGCCGATAATTCAGGGGGAGTGGACCTCATGAGTGGTATCTCATACCTTCTTGACCTTGTTGACCTTCTATGTGGGGGGGGGGCAGATTAATCCGGGGTTGACATTAATCCCTATTCCCCCTTAGGACCCCCCCTTCGGTAGGCTTAAGGAATACCTTTGCTGAGGCCAGCTTGCCTAACATATAAAAACTGTGTTTAAAACATATAGGATGAATTAAGTAATGTTTCTGTCTGCATGTTTCTGCACCGTGCCGTGCTCAATGTCTGGGTGATCAGAACAACGTCTTCCACAAGCCAAGCCACGTTCGATCTCTTCAAAGCCCTTTGCTGCAGTTTGCAAGGTCCTCACCTATGCAAACGGATGTTGTGTTTGAAGAGGAACGGTCGCGCAATTCAACCTCCAGCAAAGCTAATTCCATGTTTTGCCCTATGGTTTGCACCGCTGCCATCGATATCCATCGATATTGGTCGACAAAACCATTACAGTAAAATCATAAGACCCAAACCAGCCAGCACATGCCGTGGTAAGCGAGTGTCTTGACTCGGGTTAACCGCTGAATAACCCCCGTGCAAGTCAGGGAGCCCCAACCAGCCGCACCAGGCAGCTTCTGAACGTCTGAACGTGACAAGCTGGACGGGAGGAGTTTCATGATGCGACAATGAACCCCACGGGTTATCTTATCGAACATATGCTGAAAAGGCGTATTTTCGTATTTTTGGAAAGGGTACCAAGTGTCATCGAAGCTGGACTTTGGAGCTCCAACGAAACACTGAAGGTCAGCCATCTCTGAGTGTCTGCCGAACCACCAGAGACCCCGAGGGTTTCACTCACCACCCAGGCGCACCTCCTGCGCTTGTTTGTCCAAGTTCTTTTGGTAGTCTCAGTGGCGAGAGGCGGCGTGAACGCACGGCAATTGTTTGTCAAAAGAAGAAACAAAACCCAATTCAAGAAGCTCTGGTCTCACACTGTGGCAGCGAATAGTCTTAGCGATCTGGCCATTTCAACAAGCAGTAGGGTCCCTGTGGCTCGCCGTTGCCAGCTTTGCCGCTACACAGGTTCTGTTCCAAGGCACCGTCATTGTTTGCCTTGAATTTCTCAACCTTGGAGACGCGTTTGGCGTGGGGAGAAGGCCCTTCAGCATGCAGTTGGCACGTGGATGCGTTTTGTTAAACAAGGTGTTTCAACTGGCGATGGGCTCGCAGGTCTGTGCCTCCCGCCTGCTCATGTAGCCGGAAGTAGGTCACAATGAGGTCAGAGTTCATCATCAGGAAAACCTACAGTAAACGCATGGCACGGCATGGCCGTGTTTGACGCTTGTCACTCGAAACATGCCCGCACCCTGCGATGAGGTTCAACGCTCTTGTCAAGGCTCCTCGCCCCTCTGGCATTGATTGGCATTGTAGGTTGCTCAACAGTCCACATCTACGTCCAAACAATGGGACTCATAGGATACGTCCATTTCCTGTGATTGAGGCACACCGATGGCATCCGTAGGGGGAAACATCAGTGGTCAATGCCATGCATTTGGCTTTGAAGAGGATGAAATCATCGTGGAGTAGCTCACGAACCTGGCCCAAACATTCACGAATGCTTTTCTGGCAGGGGAAACGAATCTTTGCCTTGCTGGACCGAGGGAGTGGTAGACCGTGCCACTGACGCATAGCCATTCGCCACCTGACGCATTTGATGTCCCAGCGGCGCCCGTGCAGAAGAGCAAGGTGCCAATCGTTGGGCGGACCATTCCCGGCTGGGGCACCAGATACATCCACAGTCCAACAGCAAAAATCACGACCTTGCCGGTCAAGACGACATGTCTGGGTCAAAACTCGGGGGTCAAAACTGGGCATCCTTGTGGGCATCTGGGCTCCATGTGGCGAACCGGCACGAAACGTCAGGCCGACAATCAGCCTTGTTGCCGCCCAAAAAGTTTCAAAGCTCACAACTAAGTAGTGTGAGAATTTGTGAGAAAGACCCAAGTAGTGTTATATAATCTACAATTTCCTTGGAGATGACGACCTGTTATGGCCGGTCGCTCTTTCCCCTCAAGTAGGTGTCAAGAGAGGAAAGAAACACCGTCAGCAAACTCAGGTCCCTGAGGATGGCAGTTGCCCAAACCATGAGGTGCCCCAAACCGCTAGTGCAAGGATCATATTTCTTTTCTCAGTCCTTGGTGGCTTTGCTCTGGCCTGGGGGCCAACAGCTTTCCCTACCGCATAGTCTTATTTTTTTGTGTGGGAAAGCGTGCTCAAGATCGAACCGTGAGGTTCCCATGTCAGGTCTTGGTGCCGAACATATCGGCTGCCCAGCTCCCTCAATCCCTGCTGATGCAGTCTAGGGTGCTGAAATGGCATACACAACCTTGGAATAACCCGAGTGCCATTGGGCGGCAGGTTTCAAAATGTTTCACACCTCCCAATGCTCCGCCAGCAAATTCATCCCGCACGCCGACAAGTGGTAAACATTATGAGACGATGCTGTAGACATGCAGGTCATTGAGCTCCGCTGCATGAACAGGAAATGCATTGGCTTGTGTTGTTTTGCCATCCTATTGGTACTTCAGGCTTGAATGCTGCAAGAAAAGATTGAATCGTTGGATGGACTGAACACGTCCATGATCCGTGCAAGTCTTCAGGCTCACAAACAACTTGTCTACCTGAATGTACAAAAGCCGGTGCGCGGACATCTCACTGGGATAATGCCTTCAATGTAGACACCAATCTGGGCCCCCAGGCGTAGTAGAGGGAGTTCAGCTCTTCATGTTTTGACTCATCGTCGCTACTCCTCAATGACAAGACATGCGAAGCACAATGGCTGACCGATCATAAACGTGCATGGCCAAAAGTAGTATATATTGAAATTGCTACATTGAAGTTTACAATCAAGTGATGATAAGCATGAAAGCGAGAACGGGCAACATGGTTATCCAACAAAAGGCTTCTACCATGTAAATCCCAAGAATAAACATGAAAGAAGGCACAGTTGTCTTGGAGGATCGGCGGTGCAAAAAACAGTAATGACAACTATGGGTCATTGTTGGAAACCCGCAGGCTCTGCAAAAGAGCAGGCTATTAGCTATGATGACTACTCTTGGAACTTGGGATGTTCATCGTCCCGCCTTTTTTCTGAGCACCTTGAATCAAACCACAAGTCTGGTTTTCAAAACACGAACCCTGAAGAAAAATCAATCCGGTTTTGCGCGACAACTTCCCCCAGCCCATCGTAATCCCTCCCTAGTAGGGTTGGTGCGGGTTGCGCAGCCTGCTGACGCCCTATCTAAATCGTTTGAAACAACTGTGCGTTTCATCATGGACTTGTCGCGAAAAAAGGTCGGTGACCATGTCTGCTGAGCACAGGAGCGGAAAACTTGGACTACATTCTGAAACTGGAGAACACGTATACAATTGGAACAGAGGCCACGTCGCATTGTTTCTGAAGAGCCTTGCTTGCTTCAGCACCTTTCTTGTTTCAACATGCTACCTCTACAGCCTCGCAAATATCATGTATTGGCATGTATTGACCAATAAATGGTGGATGTGGCCTAAAGTTTGATCTTTCAATTGCGTTTCGTAGGGCCTAGGGCTTGCACCCTTTTGAGTGCCCTTGGGCCTAGTTGCGCGCTAGAGGAGAAAAACACACTCATTGGCTAAGCCTACATCAAGAAAGGTCTGTGGAAATGGCTCCACTCTATTGATCCCTCCAATCACCCTGGGCCCAAATCAACTCCAGGCTTCTGTCCATCAGCCTTTCCTTGGCCCAGCTTCTCATAGGCCTCAGCGTTGCATCGCAGCTGGGGACCACTTGGAACATCCCTATCTATCATGCCAACATGCTCCAACGAGGACTCTTCAGACCTAGCTCCATCGCTCCACTCTTCAGTCCTGAAGCTGGGCACCCCAGCCCCACCTTTTGATGCAAAGTCGGAGAGCCATGTGGTCGCCAAGCAGAAGACCGGAAGGAAAAAGGCACCTGGGCTATAGCGGCTGTGACCCTGTTTCTTGGAAAACACCCCCTCCAATGCCATGCAGTAACATCACCTTTTCACCTACAACAAACTTATTAACCTAGTAGTGCATCTGCAGGTTTTTTCCAGAGGCGCAGGTGGCTGTGTCCAAAGGCAACATGCTGACACAATTGTGTTAATTACTTTTACTGCCCTCTGGGCATCCACGGAGCACTCACTACGTGGCACCAGTATGAACCAAGGTAGCATACAGGTATGGCACGGATTGGTTCCACAGCGGGTCTGTTTGCAGAACAAGGCTCCCAGGAAGATCTGCTCAGTGGCCAAAGTGGCCTTAGCCAGGCGTCTGTTCAACTGGAAGCGTTGATGGATGGTGCCAAACGCCTATTCATCCACTGTATTCTGAATCCTGATTCCCACAAGCTTCCCCAATGAATCCCACTGTAACACCCTCTTTGGTGTGGATTCTCTGAACGGCACCCATGTCCTCGCAGAAATCCTTGACGTTTCCACTGCATTTTCCACTTCTTGTGATCGAGCTGCTAGGCCAGTGGAGCCACCAGTGCAAGCGGCCACATGGGTGGCCTGTTGGTAGTGACCATACAAGGCCTCCGGCTCCAGAACAGCTTCCTGAGAGACCGCTGAGGCTTCAAGTTGTTGGGGTGGTATGAACATGGGCTTGATGATCGTAATGGATTGGCATCAGGATTTGGAAACGTGGTTGGCGCTTGGGCTGCAAATGTAGCAAGTAGGTCACATAGCACCATCTCAGCATATCTAAGTATGGTCGGTCTTTCAGGCTCAAGTGTTCCTCGAAGCCTAAGTTGGCGAGGTCAAGCTAGGGGCAGCGATCGGAGGTGGCAGTGGCAGCGATCTGGACGGCCATCAGCATCTGGTGCCATCAGCCTCCATCGGCCCTTGACGGACAAAAGACTTTGATGTCCGATCCTGTAAGACCAGAAGGCTTCACCCATCTTCAGGATCTTGTGGCTGGTTCAATCCACAAGGCCCAAACAATTCACTGAGGAAACTGGTGGAAACTAACTGTTTTCCATTTCGTGCACCCCATATTTAAAGCCTCGAGCTTTGGGTCATTTCATGAAATTGTTGTGCCTTTTTTGGCAAGTTTGGATGCAAAAAGACTCCGTCTGTGCAGCTTGCTTGGCCGTGACTCCGTGGCGTTCAACTTCTGCTCCAGCAACTTCAGGTCGTCGAAGACACTCTGAGAATTCCACTTGGGGCATGTCTGCTGAAGCACTGTCCTCATGACAATGAAATCATGGAAAGCCGGAGGTTCCGGGTTGGGAATACCAAATCTGATCCAGGGACATTGATCGATTATTGATAGGACTAGGACTTTGAAGGGCTTTGTTTGAACATGTCGAGTTCTTCCATGACGCAAGTCCTGGACCCCATATAGATGCTTGTTTCATCATCTTAAAACACATACCCACCCCCCCAACCAACATGGAAGTGGACAAGGCCCCTGTTTGTAGATTAAAAGTGGCTTTCCATGAGCCATCTTTCACTTCCATGATTGCCGGAGGCCCAACATGCCCCGTATGCACATCGCCGCATTGCACTTCATCTCACTGATCACCAGCACGTTACATTTCACTCCGCTACACATCCAAATCACCTCACTTTACCACAAGTCACCACACCATCCACACCCCATGTCACAAATCCTACAGGAAAGTATTGGAAGAAGAAAACTTCCTCTTTTTGTCTCTGCCAAAGATTACCTCCATCAACCCGTGTCAACACTCCCGAAAAACAAGAATCCCTGCATACTCTGATGAAATTCGAGACCCAGCTCCTTCTGCGACTTCAACAACATCGCCGGCCAAGGGGCTTGTACTCGGTGATCCAGTGAACACTGGCCAAAACCGATTGCTTCGCCAGCTCCAAGTGGTCTGTGGCCGGATTGTCCACAGTACCTATGAGGCCGGGTACCGGCCGAATTTTCCACCAGTGATTTGGCAGCAAATCAAGGCAAGTGGATGCCAAATCACATGCATTTGTTTCGCTACAGTCGCAAAAAAGTACCTGGCCACAAGCACTCAGTCGCATAGTAAACAATATTTTAGTACGATCCTTTCATCAAACCCAGTCTTCCTCTCAGCGGTGGCAGCGGTGGCACCTGTGAGGTAGTGTTCTGTGAGGCTGTAGGCTGAAGAAGTCTTCCCTGCTGTCCTCAAGAAGTGGATGGAAGAATCCCCACTCCACTGGCCCATGGAAGAACGCCCATGCCCAACAAAATGGGATCAATTTGATGTCATGTGAACGTAGAAACGTCTTCGTCACGTCCAAGTGGTCCGGCCTGGTCCAGCTTTGTGCCACGTCCTAGTCGGTCCATCATCAGGTTGTTTAATGCTTACTTATAATGATTATGTTAGTCCAAAGTCCAAACTCCACCATGACCAGTCAGCATCCCTTTGGACAGGCGCGAGCCAAGGTTCTGCTCAGCGAATTGCAAGACCTTTGCATCTGGCCCATCTGACAGGGTAGCAAGGGTGGCTCAAACTCAAAGACTTTCGAGCAAAAAGGCATCAATCAAAAACAAAAAACAAAAATTAGCCTGCAGTGATTACGCTGCAAAAGAAAGCAGGGGCCCGGACTGGAACTGTAGCTTTCCTAAAGCATGAGTCAAAGGAACTAGGAACCGCTCAGAGGCTCAAAGTCCAAAAAATAACGAAACATTATATATATATAACTATATATACACCGTGTATTATACACCTATCATTAGTTATGATATGTATGTGTATATATATGTGTGTGTGTGTGTGCATATATATTAACATAGCTATATAACAAATATACAGCGTCAATCTTCTCTGGCTCAGATTGGAAGGTTGTCGCACATCCTCACACAATCCAACTCCATCCCCCAGGCCGTCGCGGCAAAAGCCCGTCACAGTGCTCGCTGTGGCGTACTCGGCACATGCCGCCACGCAAAGGATCAGAGTGGAGGCCGCCACGCAGCAGGGCAGCAGTAAAGCCAACCTGAGGTGACTGGTGGATGTACTGAGTATGTCCAAAGAGGATGCTCACTACATCACACCTACACTCCAACTCGCTAACATTCATGGGAAGTGAGTTAACCACTCTGTTTTGTGAAGAGAAGTACAGTGGTCCTTCTAGGGCTGATGTCCAGTTCCATGTCAGTGAGCCGGAGGGTGCGAGCACTATTGAGGCAATGAGATCCGCATGTATGTACCCTTGGTGTTTCCAAGCGTCGCCTGGGATGCCTCAATGTCTTCTTCGCCTAATATGCCATAGGTTGTGGGAACGAAAGGTCAAGGGAGCAGCTTTTTTACTTCATAATACACCAGGACCCTGACGAGCCAGCTGGATGAGTCTCTATTCTTTGTGCTGCGAATTTCGCCATGAACGTCCTTCCGAACCCTTGGGGGCCCCCATCCCCACATCAAAAGTATCCCACATCTGCTCTGCTCGGCTCGCGGGCGAGGAGCGTCGTGGGCGAGAGCTTTCGCGTGAGGCGCTTGTTCACTGTGGCGTTTTGGCTGGAAAGCAGCTGGAGCCATGCCTGGGCACGCCAATCGCTTTCGCCTCCAAATGGGTTGCGGTTGGTCGGGGCCCGGGTATTGACTGGTGATTGACGGATGCCATCATCACGATCTGGTGGTTCGTTTGAGAAGTGCACGACTTGGTTAATTGACACGGTGTTGAAGTGTTGAAGCCTAGGCTGTGCGCCTAAAGGATCCTAAAGGGACATCCCTGAAATGACACTGGAGGAAAGAACCAGGGAAACCCCAACTGCATTTGAGATGACAGGTGTTTAATATAGCTTTAGTTATTCTGCGTGAGAATGGACCAACATGGGGACCTTGCCCAGCACTGGCAGACTAGGTCACAGGAATGGTTTCTGTTTGTTGAGCTGGCACTTTTAGCAATTTCAACCTGCAAACCTGGTCAACCCTCAATCAGCTGTGTAAACTGAACCGGCTGAACCTTCCACACACCTCCAAACCCAACCAATTCTTTCTTCTGCCCCTCCGAGATACTGCCCCGCAGCAAACCAGCACAGTAGCCAGGCTGAGGCCAGCAATGATGGGAAGCCTCAACCGCACTGATCAGTTTTCACAGCCTTCCAGGAATCTGTGAGAAGAACAAGCCCATGCAAAGCTCCTCAATTGTTAAAACCATACCTCCTGGTGCAGTGGTAGATGAGTCCAGTGCTGGCTCTTACTTACATGCTGTTACCAAGTATATATATATATATACAGCATATACGAAAACCATAATCACTCCAAAGATAGCCCATGCTGCTGGGAGTTGAACCATGCCTCTGACCACAACAACCCTTGGCAACGCGCTCCCCGTTTGATTGAAGCCAGTCAGTCAAGATTAATATCGCCTCCAAAGCTCATTGAAAAACAACATAAACAAAGAAAGTGAGGATTGAACTTGTCGACGCATACTTCAAATCCTACAGCCCTCAGCATACGGTTTCAGACCCATTCAGAGTCCATTCAGCTAGACGTTCACATCCCTCCCGCGTTTTCCCTTGGCATTCTTTGCCTCCAGAGTTTGTCATCCCTCCCGCACTTGGCAAAAGAAAGCTGGGAGCGGTTGAAGTGATTCAGATTCCTGCTGAACTATCCAAGAGCCTTCCTTTCTGCAACTGACCCTGTTGCCACGGAAAGCAAGACAAGCACCCTTCGGCCTTCGGCATGTGGTCTTTCTCGTTAGAATTATATACAGTATCTCCGCAGGGGACCAATTTCCAGCTCAGCAAAGACTGTGACTGAGATACCGTAAGCCTCTGTAGTTATTGCACCTACAATGATAAAAGCCCCTGCCCATGTCGTTTACAAAACACTTCTGGCTCCACCAAACCGACCACTAATTACACTGACCCCGTGTAAATCCAACTCGTGGCTGCCAAGGAGCCAGGTAGACAAGCCGCGTAACTCATCAACGCCATGTTGCAAGAGCCCTGGGAAATCCTTGAGCGCTTTCACCTCAGGTCGATGTGGACACAACCCGTTACGGATATGATGGAATCCCCCCCCGTCGATGCCGATGCTTCTCCCGTTCGCCGTGTCTCACCTGCCCTTCAGGTCCCTCAGACATACCACATCATACCGTGTCATCTGAGGATTGGTCAAAATTCGTTTCAAAAGCTGTTGGATCCTTCGAACGTGCATGGTCCAATGGGTTTTGGAATGGCCATCCCGGCAGCTTCACCGGCACTGAGGGCTTGGAGCTCTCTTGTTCGAGTGTCTGACAACAAGACATTATCCGCACACTCACAGGTGAGCTTGATGGCTTCGTTGTGACGGCATCGCCAAATTATCAAAATGTCATAAGTGTGAAGGAGTCACCAACTCTTCACTTAACATGTTCATTGGCCACCAGCAACTCCCACTCTGGGTGGCTGGAACTGTAAACGCAATCAGATTGATCTTCATCCGTATCGAGTCACAACTATATACTTCTCAACAACACGATGACAACGACAGCTGTTGGCTGTTGACAAACACGAGTTGCCGCCAACGGCGCCCACTGCCAAGGCACGGCCAGCTCGGCCTCTTCGGAGGCCTTCGAGATGTCACCCTTCACACGAGTCACGGAACCTAGGCTCGGCGACAAAGGAGCTCCTATACCAGCTATATAGTGGGAGAGCAATGGAGAGCAGGTCTCCACCCATCAGGGTTTGCTCGATTCCCCCCATCCCCCTCACTGATAGCTCAGTGTTGACACAGAGCGTTTGCCTGAGGCTCAGTTTCACAACGACCGAGGTGAACACCAAAAATGAAACCATCCCAAATCACAAACAGAAGCAGCAGCAGGGATGTGCACATGCAAAAAGCGCTGGACGATTGGGAACAATGTGTGCACTTTCTGTCTCAGGGACGGTCCTATCATCAACTTACTTCCAGTTCTGAAATTGAGCAAGGTGTAAGGTGATCTGTTTGAAGTAGACTAACTAGCCAAACTAGGAAAAGTTTTAGCTTAAGGCCATGCCCAGCAATTAAGGCACTCTCTAGAGTCTAGAGGAGATCATTTTTGGCGGTCACCACTCACCACGCTTGTGCCACCCCACTAAACAAGTGTTTTGCTCATGTTCGGAGAGGAACCAGGGTCTAAAGTCAGGGCGTTCTTTGCCCATCTCCATTGCGTTACTATGCATCCACAAAATTGCCATAGAGTGGGACGCTGCTGAGATGTTGCTGAGGTTGTTGCACGAGTATACTAATTAATGCGACTAAATTTGACTGAATGTTCGAAAAATATACACGTTACCAATATGACGTCTGCTACAGTTGAATAGAACTTCTTTCCATAAGTGATGGGGAGCAAATCTAAGTAAGGGGTGTCAACATCCCCAGCTGAATGAACGTGTGTTAGTTTTAAGTCGCCAAGTCACCAGGCCGCTCGCTTCCTAATACAGGTTTGTTCGTTGTCCATGGGTGTCTTAGACCTGTCGAGGAGCTGCCAAGCATCTGCTCAATTGAGGGTGGGCAAACCTTGTAGAGGTTCTGCCTTGGAGGTTCAGTCTTCCGCGGGGTTCATGAATCGGACGACTGATCTCGCAACGACTGATCTTCCTCGACATGCAACTGGCTGCTATTACTGGCGCGGTCAGCTTTCCAATTAAGCTCCCCAGAGTCCACAAACTTCGTTTTCTACTGAAGCTGGATTCCATTGGACTTCTTTGCAAACCTATGCTAAACGCCGATGAACACCGACACCTGTTGCACCCAGCGGCAGGTCTGCTGTGACCTTCTCAGCCGTGGTACTGACGCCATCGACCTCTTCCAATGGGCGGCATCTGTGTAGCAGAGTGGCCCCAAGAATGATCTAGCCCTTGCTTGTCGATCTTTTTCTACACTCTACTCTACCCTTCTTTCTTTCTCTCTCTCTCTCTCTATCTTTCTATTTACTGTATCTGTCTATCTAAGTATCTATCTATCTATCTATTTATCTATCGGCTATCGCATACGAATGACGAATGCACCCTCAAAACACGAGTTATGCCAAGATTCGTCGGTCACGCTTGTTTGTACACCTTCCAGAATCTGGCCAACTTCCTTGGTTGAGTAAAGCAATCCCCTGATACTGTATGGACTGCATCACTGGACTATCTGACTATCATGTGGATCTCTATTTAGTTTAGTTTCTGCAATTTCTGGCTGAGCACCTGGCTGCATGTACAAACATAGATCCAAGCTAGGCGCCAGTTGAGTCAAACCCCACGTCCCTTGTGGAATGCCCGACGAACCAGTGACGAACTCCAAACAAACAACCATGACAGGCCTGCGAGGTGTCGAAGCACATTAAACTTGTCAGCTATGGAGGTCCAGATGTAAATGACCAATATATATATATATATAGTACAGTGTGTGTGTGATCTATCACCTCTATCTTTACAAGTTGAACACTACCTTCTGGGCTTGTACACTATAATTATCTGCTCCACAAGGTTTTTTATAGATCACACGTGCTCAATTCCGTTGCTTCGTTTGCACCCCCCCCACCCCTGTGTCCCATCTTCGAGAGGCAGAGGCTGCCCAGTTGAAGGCATTGCCACCGAAGCCCGAGGAGAAAGACAAGACGCAGCTCAGCAGCATCACCCCCTTGGGCCCACATCGCAGGAGAATCACATCGCAGGGTGACGCAAATCCTGTCAATGTTCTTCTATTTTAGCTCATTGGTTCAGTGAAGAAATGCACCAGAGTCTGAAGAAAAGCGGATCTGAGGCAGACCTGAATCAGTGATCCCCAGCTCTCGAAAAGACACCAACGGCTTGGGCACCCAGCACTCAAGCAAGCTGCGGCGGCAAAAACGCCCCAGTAGTAGTATTCCTCCTGCACACATGCCCAGCAGCTGCAAGTCTACCTGTTCTTTGGCCCAACACCATCTCAAACTATTTCTATTCTGCAGCATGGATAGGCCAAGTACATTTCGGCTCCCACCTTGGCCATCAGAAATCAAAACGGGATAAAGATGGATAAAGCGGGGATAGGTGCCAAGACAGCAGTGTTACAGCCGACCTTGAACTCAAAATGCAATTTTTGTCGCGGAACCGCTTGGTCCTCAGCCAGGATACTTAGCTATACGTTCACATTGTTCCCTTCAATACACGTCGTGCAGGCGGTGTCTACTTCACAAACCTCAAACCTCCCACACCTACGCTCTCTCCAAAGCATCTGCATGAATTTACTGGCCGTGGCCACCCGGGCTGTTCCGTTTTCTCCAACCCGCAGAAATCGCACACAGTTCTCAGTTCTCACAGTTTCACCTTGACCCCGGGGAAGGTGGGCAGCTTGAGGCCACAGAAGGGCTTCGGGACCGCATCAGCGAGGTAGACCTAGTGGAAGAGCGCTGGACAGGATGAAATGGGAAAATTTATGAGGAATAATTTAGATGTTTTAGATCAACTGGTGGGGTGTTCTGGCATGGTTCTGCAATCAAGCAGCTCACCTTGGATATGTCAAGGATGATGGATTGATGGGTTGATGGAATCCCAATAACGGACCTAGCTTAGGGCCAAATTGGCTTCCAGTCGAAACGCTAGAGGCCTCTCACAAATGGGACCCTGCTACTGGTTTGAACGGCAATGCTGATATGCATGTTTGCATCGCCAGAGGGCTGGAGTTAAGCTGAGGCACATAAAGAATCAAACCTGCAGCCACTAGGCCAAGAAGGACGGCTACCACTGACCTTAGGGTCTTGGATAGTCTGGAGGCTGGGATCATGCTGGAACCAGAGAATGGTTCATCTTTTGCAAAACTGTTTGGATTGAACCCGCAAAGGCCGTCCGTAACATTCGTGCCTCGGAATGGAACTCATACAGCCTATTGCCTGTGGGAACAAACACGGGGCAAACAAGTGCCTGTTTGTTCACCACGAATGCAATGAGAAGCTCACACCATGTAAACCGCAGTCGATCGGGCGTGCATATTGTTCTCCTTCGTCGGGGTGTTTGGGCCAGTGAATTGATCGAATGAAATAAGCTACTATGCGGCCTGATGTGCATGAGAACGCAACTGCTGGGTGAAGATCTGGGTGGGCGACGGCCCAAATGTTACGTAAAGTCAATGACTTCATTTGGCTATAGGCTATAGGCTGTAGATGTCTTGATACGGATTATCCAAATGCTATACCCAAATGCTTGATTATCCAAAGCATACTCAACCACTTGTTAGTTCTTCCCAAGGTGCCAGATCACTCCGCCAGAGCTGAGAAGAAAGGGCCAAAAGCCCTGCAAGACGAAGGGCTCCACCCAGGCTGGTTCACCTGAGTCTGCAACCGGTCCGAAGGAGTCCAATGTTGGCAGTTAAAGTGAGAAATCTGAGAGGGATGAAAGCTCCAGAAGCCTCAGTCATATCATATGTACATACGGTCTTGGGCAACGAATCGGCAGCAGCGGGTGGATATCCCTGCGTGTAGATCCCAAAATCACGGGCAAATGACATATAGGTACATGATGGCTCCAGGTAAAACGATAATGAACATGAATGGGGTATTGGATCGGACAACAAGTCAACAACTTCACCTACTTTGTTGGTCCACCGCCCACCGTCCTTTTGCATCCCACATGTGGACCCGACCCCGACGGTCCGACACCGCGGTTCAGGCTCTTTTTCCTTACACCACCCCCTCCTCGGTCAATGGCAGCTCCTCCGCTGGGCGAGCGGGCGTCCCCGCGGCGCGGGGCATCGCGCCAGTGAGGTAGCCACCTTTTTGGACAGCTTTGAAAAGAACAGAGCCTCCTTCCGACTAGGGAAGAGCCTCCAACCAAACGAGACTCTTCCAAAAGAGCTTTAAAGTGCTTAATTTTGCTTAAGCGTGCTTAAATGCAACAACTCAGAAATATTTAAAGAACTTCTTCCCGCTAAGAACCCGTAACTGCAGTTGGAAGGAAAGTGACTGTGCCAGTTGTAGACCAGCGCAAGCTTCAGTAAACACCAGCACTGGTACTGGCATTCTATGGCGCTGAATGAAAAGGCTAACACATATAGACAGGCATGATAAAGCAACATGAACATATTCTCTTCACCATTCCAGGCTGCCGAAGGAGGAGCGGCACAAAGGGCACTTCTCATCGCGCAAGGAGCGAAGGCAGGAGTGGCAAACGGAGCAATGACGGCAGGGCAAGAGGAGCCTGGGCCCGACAGGTCTGGAGATGGAGCCAAACAGGAGGATCAAATATAGATCAAATAAACACGATGTACTACACTCACGATGTATACACGATGTGCCATACATTGAAAGGGGATCACCGTGGACTCACCAAACAGCATATTTAGATATATCTAGTGACATTAAGAAATATATATACCCCAATTTCAAGAGTCCTCTGCATACGTACGTTTTCTCCAGCAGGGACCTGGTTCGGGTAATCACTGAGTTGCATACACTCTTGTTTGGTGAGTGATACTTGGAAGTCAAACCCCCGAAGTAAGTGGAGAGAACATGGGAATACTGCAGCTGCTTGAAGAAATTATTGGGGGCGTTGAGCTTCCAAACTGAACTCTATCAGGGAAGGAAGCTTGGGGACCGCCAAGGTGGCCCATTGTCTACATGGACCCTGAGTGTCTGCCAGCCCCAGTGTCCCCAACCTTTTGACCAGGCCGTGTTGCACATTCTTAGGGCGCGCATAGCAAATCATGCAATCTGTGTCGCCGGCCTGGCCAACAATTCGGACATGTCGGGATGCAATCACCACTTTTCCAAACGATTCGAACGTACCGGATCCCTTGCCAGGGTGCTAAAGTCCTATCAACTCTGGATGATTCCTTCTTCACTGGTTGCTGGTGCCTGGCCTAAGCCATTAAGAGTGTTGAGTGGCATCAAAGAAAAAATGCATGAGTCACCAGGCCCATGCCAAACCGCGGGAGAGCCTCCTCAAATCCGAAGATCCCCTGGACCTCCAAGAGCATTTGCTCGCCCAGGCAGAGCTGCCGGAAGATCTCTGCTGTGTGAAACCTCAGCTGCCCTCGCATCCAAAAATACCCAAAGGAGCAATCATCCAGTAGAAACCTGCCGTAAGGAACAAACCCTTCTGAGAGAGGATTCCGCTTTCTATGGGTTTCTGTCTGAGAGGGATTGATTTAACGTGTGTTCGGCAAATTCCAGTTGTCTGAAACTGCGACTCCCTGCAACCCCTCTTGGGGGTGGCTGGTGCTTCAAGCAACGCCAAGTTTCGTATCCAAGGGACGGGAAATTTGATTGCCCTTGTGTCGGGCCTGTCATGTGAAAGCGGACCTCAGCCGGGCAAGTCAGAAGCACGACCTATGGATCCTCATGAAAGCTTAGGCAGCAACGTAGGGTTCACACCAAACGTTTCACAATGCTCCTTTGTTTCTTTGCATGATAAAGTTTGGCAGATAGGCGTATATACTATGTCCAAACAAGCTCGGTCAAACAACATCAAGCAACCACATCAACTTGGACAGTCCCCGACTTTCAAAAAACGGTCCTACAGTCCCACCTAGCTTCAACAACCTTGCCCCCCACCTACAAAAAATGTCGCTTCAATGTCTGGATGCTCCCCAAAGTGCCACAGAGATCCACGGCGCGGGAACATCCCCCGAAAGAAAGCCTAACAGCAAACCACACGCAAAAACCGCGAAGCGGAAAAGAATGGATTCCAAAGACGGCCTCACAGATCGAGAAACCGTGGAGATCTCGCCCTTGGTCTCCAGAATGGCCCGGCCCTGCACCGGTCCTGAAACTCGCCCACTGGCCAAAACCACAATGGCCAATGGGATGGTCGCGCCCGGCTCGGCCTGGATGAAAGAGATGAAAGAAACATGTTGGAAGGTCCTTTCAAGAGAAAAACATCGATGAGAACAGCCTGCAGGAGAGCCTGGATAGCCCATTCACATGCCCGTTCTTAATCACTGGGAGCCCTTCTGAACCCCCAAGCTGCGTGCCTGGCCAGCTCGCAGCCATGAGGCCAAGAAGTCGAACTCTGCCATTCGGTCTGGGTGGATCAAGTCCCCTGCAGGGGTCACATAGCGCTGCCCACAGCCAGCAGGCAGGAAGAAGTCCCTGGACTGCGCCACGAAGTCACGAGTGCTAAAGATTCGATCCTCCGACTGCGGCTCAGCACACGGCTCTGCTTGGCAGGCTGTGAGATTGAGCTCCTCCATTTCGAGGAGTGAACCTGTGGCACACATGAGTCGTTTTTGGACACCTGTGGCGCTTGACGGTGTGTCGGCCAAACATCTCTTCGCCGCCTTTTGATCTGCAGCTCTCACCCCCCCGCGACAGAGTAGAAACATCAAACACCCGACAATCGAAAAGAGTCCTCCGAACAAAACTTGGTCCAAGACACGTGTGGTCTCCGGATTCGCATAGGACCTTCCTCCTGTCCACCGCCCCCGGAGCTGCCGCAGGGAGTTCGAGAAGCCGCCTCCATTGGTCGCTGGGCGACTCCCACGTGGTGCGGTGAGGAAGTCGAGTTGACCACGGTGCGCCAAATCGTTGCATGCGGTGGCGCTCAAACCCCAGTAGAGCTGGACGCAACAGGGCACTGAGGCATCAATATCGAACCTGAGAATGCTGTTTCGATGCATTCGAATATGGAGTGAACATCTCATATCAGAGGAGGACAACGAGTCACCAGAGAAAAAGAGCAGCTTGTAGATAAATGGACCTTCAGCCTCCAAAGAGACCTTTGAATCCTTCATGCTGCAAAGGACCCAAATTAACCGCACTTGGAAGAGGCTATGACATGGCTTCAAAACAATTTATTATAAGGTATTAGTAGCATCCTTGCTCCTAGTAGCGATGCAGTAAAGCCAGGAGTCCCTAGTATCGTCCTTGCTCTGATATATTAAAGCATTGGCCCAGGAGCTCCACACCAAAGCCCATAGGCCCACCACCAGACTCCTCTTCTCCGACCCATAAACATCGAATGGATTCCTCAGGCAGGTCCCGTTGGCCTGCTGTGGGGAAGAGTTCGCGACTGAAACCCGGTTGTAGAACCATTTGGCGTGCAACTTTGTGATTGTCAAACGGCGGAAGGAACACCAGCACTGCACACACTACTACGTATTTGTTGAGCCTCCGGTGAATCTGTAGTGGTGTTGTTGGAGGTAGGCCATAGAAGGGAAGATGTCCCAGGCAAGTTTACTCCATGATCACAAGCATTTGCCTGTGAGCGATCATCTTGCGGTGTGAGTTTCATTTCAGCCAGGGTCTATTCGCTGAAGGAGAAGTGACAAATGCAAAGAAAAGGAGCTGCAGGTGCCCTGATCGTGCCAAACAAGCCCCGCCACCCAACCTCTTCATCCCATGTCTGCCTCAGATCCCCCGTTCATCGACCAGTTTCTGGATGCACATGCGCAAAGACCTCGCAACGGCTCACCAGCTTGGGCGGCACTGTGCGGCGGATGCGGAGGATCTGATTGAAATGCTGGCGGATCAAGATCATGAAGTCCTCTAGGCGATTTGTTCCGTAAAGAGGATGGGCGCGGGAACCGCTTGGTTACAAGTCCAGGGTGCTCCCACAAGCCCTGCAAACCAGGCCGGAACTCGTAAAATTGGCATCGTTCTTAACAACTTCACTCTTGGGGTCTCCAACGATGCTGCGGGAGAAGCCAGGGTTCCTTGCTGGCTTTGGCTGGTCTGAATCATTCTTATAGGTTTTCCATGTTCACGACCGTTGCTTTGCTTTGCTTCCTTTGCCTGGAGACCTCGTGTCCTTTACCGATTGGAGCGCTCCACATCCTGTGGACCAGAGGTTACCATAGGTTGCCCGCCCCCGACAGTCCGTGACCTCCTCATTGAGTCGCTGTGCCTCACCGACCCGCGAAAACCATGGGACCAAATGGGATCCGAACAAACCCCATCCTGCGCATAGATGCTCATGGCCTCCAACTGCAAGGACCTCCCAGTTCACAGGAGTGTTGCAAAGTAGCGCAAAGGTGCAGAGTCATGCTCGATATCGCGTGGGGAAGTCTGACTAGTTCACACAGGAAAAAAAAGGCACAAACAACAAACTAGTTTGCTATGTCTACCTTCATCAATGCCATATCATATATCAATAGAACCATTCAATGCCAGGTGTAGGCCCAAACCGGGGGTTCATGCCTTCAGCCGACTTCTTTACCGAATTGCCCTACCTCAAGACTTCAGACCATGATTAAACAGGAATATACTAAAAATGATGTACATTACATGTATACCCCTCCCCCCAAAAAAAAAGAACATCTAGCCACAGGTTAGAAGCACGTGCAGCACATCCCAACTGCGCCTGCTGCGCGTGAGGCGCCAGCTGACCTCGCCGGCCCGGAAAAGCTGCAGAGCAACTCGGACGATCCAGGCGCAAAGCAACACGAGGAGAAGCACCACCTGAGAATGAATCGTTTGAGGACCCAACTACTTGGGCTTCATGAAGCCTTGCTGCAAGGTGCCAGAAGGAAAAAGTTTGGGATAGACGTGGTATGTCATCCTTGCAGTGGGTGTTCAATGCAGAGTTTGGACTCTGAGACAACCTCACACCCACTATGCAAGGCTCCGAGCATCTAGGCGATGGTGGGGGATGGTGGGGGGTGGGGGGGGGGGGCGGTCCGTCAACTCTGGTTTCTAGTTTTGACACCATTCCCCCTTCCCTCCAAGCAACGCCCACAATCAAATAGCACGGCAATGGACAATGGTTGGTTCAAAACAACTCCCTGGGGATGTAGGCACGTGGCCAGTCAAGACCCTGATAAAGGAACAAAACAGTGCCGCCGGCGCGAATCCTTAGCCCTGACTCTTCAGCGAGATTCGAGCCTATTCTGAAAAAGCAGAATGACATGACACTGTCTGGGTGTTCCTGGCTGATGTATCTGATAGGTAGAGTCATATAGACTACCAACCAAGTGTTTGAGGATGTTTGAAGGGTCCAGCTAGTCCCCTAAGTCACGCGATGGGACTCTATAGTGGGGCAAAAGGCAAAGGATAAAACATGTGATCCACCAATCCAGGCCACGAAGAGGTTGTGAAAATCTTGGCGCATCCTGAGAAGCTCGGGCAAGTCAAACCGGAGCTTTTCAGGTGGCAGGGGTCCGGCGTGGGGCCCAGGTGCAAACAGGGTTGACCTGTAATTGAAGAACCTGCGACATGAGAGCGGTGCTTCGTCAGCCTTCACCTTTTTTGGGGACGATTTTCACCTAAGACCTAAACATTCAAATTATCTTAATGATTGGAACATGTCCAGCCCTCTTACAAGGATCACAGTCGCTGTGTGTCCAAACCACATTGTCACATGCCGCACGCGTGCCCTTTACCAAATAAACTCCCGGAACATGTTCATCCACTATAGAGGCCCCCCCGACACACCAAACAAAAGGATCGCCCTCTTTTTGAGGAGGCCCATCCAACTGTAGTGTATACAAACATATCTGGCAAAAAAGACTATAGACTATAGTTGACTATAGATCTATAGGATTCTATAGGAACGTCCGTGCTTTTCCCAAAAAACAAACTCTCATCACTGGCCTCTCTGGCTTCGTCGAAACTGTCCCATCCAGTTCCGCGGCCACCGCGCTCGCACGCGGCCACAGCACCGCAGCCAGGGTTAACACCCAGCACGTCACAGTGGTGTGGCGCATGGGTGGCGCAGGATGTGACTACTGCGCAATGTTTAACCTGTTAGAATCATTCTACTTGTTAAGCTTGCCTTCCAGCCCACAGGAATGTATCTAGGGATATCTAAGGAGTATTCTAGAGGATGGGCATCTGTATAATAAGAGCACAGAGCATATCGGGCTGCAAAGAGCAGGTGCCTTCGACTGATCTACCTCTTATTCAGCCAAGTTCTGCAAGTTTGCGGCCCCACCTGTACATTTGACCCGGGCCTCCTTTTGAGCCAACTTGCCACATCTCAAACAGTGCAGTGCAAAGAAACTCGAAAGGTCCTGAAACGCCAGGTTCGAGGAAACATCGACCAACTTCGACAACTTGACACAAGTTGTGAACTTGTATGTGCCATGTATCGCACTGGTTCACTGAGCAACTTTGCCCAGGCGGTCGCCCATCCTCCCTTCAGCTGAAGCACTGGGAGGCATTGGGCGCTCAAACCATAAGGGCAGCACCGGCCGTTGCGAGCGTGATGCCGATGGCAGGCTGGAGTTCAAAAGGTTGGGGTCCTCTTGATTCTTGATTCATCACATTGGACACTCTGGCTACCTAAAAATGATCATAGGTTCAAGATTCCCAACAAGCAGCAATCCATGGCCTAGCAGCCTAGCAATGCTCAAATCTTACAGGGGTGGGCTGCAGAGTGTGGTTTGTGGGGTTGCAGTGGCCCTGGTAACCAGTTCGCGACTTTCATGTCAATGTATAGATCAAGGTCCATAGTTTGCCTCTCAGTTTTGTTTCAACAATGCTCACTGGTGTCGCGGTGCAAGGTGAAGCTCCGAGCCGAAACCAGGAATCGTCATCTTCCCAATGCGCTCCAATTGGACATGGGATATCATGGGATCTGAAACTTGGCAAGAAAGGCGCGGCAACTCAGTGTGTCATCCACCAGGCACCATGAGTTGCAACAACTTGATAAAATGACCTCGCTGTCATGGACTAGACCCGACCTGTAGCGCCAAACCGCCAAACACACGAAAAAGAAACCGACGCCCATGCGACAACTTCACATGTCAAGAACAAACCGATTTCAAAAGAACGTCCTCTGTCTTTATTCCCCACCAAAAATTATGGCGCTTTAGGGCACTAGCCTGGCAGAACGAATCTTGCCATTGATACCTAAATTGTTGGCATGGCATGGTTGGCTTAAGTCCCATTGATTTCCCATGGCATGGCACACCCGCTCCACTCCAACGTTCTCCTGCAAAACCTCCGGCGCCAGCTGGTCCTGTCCGCCAGTTGAAGCTTGCTTTTCATATCGGTTTGGTGCGTCGACCCAGCAGTGTTCATAGTCGACCTTGGTTTTCCAAAAGTGCTACTAAATGGTCAAAAATGATCGAAGGACAGACCGGGTTAATTATTGTTGCACAGTGTGCCACTGTCGCACCAGCGCTACAGAAACCCTGCACTTGCAGTTCGGATGACCGATCGAGTGGCACGCTGAGTGGCACCCCACAAAGTCCAAGCTGAATCTGTCAACAGGCGCTGTGCGTTTCAGCCCACGCATTGCTTTTCTAGGCGTTCCCGAGGACTGGTCAACCACATCTGTTCGTGCCTGCCTGTGTTCTGAATCTGAAGTGGCCAATCCTTGTACAAAAGCGGAGCCTTGAACAAGCTTCGGAAGCTCGGCCGAGCGTCCGTCAAGAAGTCCCTGCAACTTGCGTTGCACACAGTTGCTCAAGAGAGCGAAGTCAACAATGTCTGTCACAGTCTTCAGAAGTATGTGCGTTGCTGACAGAGAGTCATGTGGTCCCGAAAGTCCGCGAGCCCAGCCGTCCCAAACACATCACTGCCGGAAGGAGGAGCTCAAGTCAGAGCTCTTGCTTCCCAGATTGACTGCGATGAGTCAACAATGGCGGTGTGCGCAAGAGCCATCAGGAAGGCTCTGCAACTTGCGATGTCCAGAAACTCTTGTCCAAAGACTGTTGTTCCTTGTGTCCGTCAGCGTTGCCGAAGACAATGCCCGCAATGTGCCGCACACCGCAGCGGCAGGGAAGAGAGGTTCAAAGCAGTCTGGTTCTGCACTTTGCTCTCGGCAATGTGCCTGACCTCGGTGATGAAAGCACGAGCGAACATGATGAAGTTATTTTTGCACCGGGGCTTGCTGTGATGTGCGCGGCGAAGCTTCACCAGGCCCTCTCGAGTTTCCAACAAGGTTGTGTTCAAACCACATGGCAAAGCGACATCGCCTGACGGAAACTCTACAAGCGAAGAATATCCAAGAATGTAATATAACTAATTTTTTATAAAAAGCAATTACATATATATATATACATACATACATACATACACATACACATACAGACATTAATCAACATTCGCAGGAAAACCCTTCGATTTCGATAAATTTTCAACTTTGATATGCTCTGCTCTGCTGTACGATTTCAAAATTGTTGGAGGCCCAGGAACTGTTGAATTTTGAAGCTCTTCCCAGGTTCCCATGTTTGGGGGTTCCCCCATTTGGGGGACCCCCAATGACAAGCAACTCGACCAGAGTATTCTAATTAGCTGGTCGTGGGGCGGCCGGTGGCTTTTAGGTGAAGGGATTACTTTTTGGACCTGAAAACTCGTACCGAAAGCAAGAAAAATCACGCCCTGCATCGCCCTGCCTGAGGCAGCTGAACCCAAATTGGCGCATCCTTAGAGGTCGGATCAGCTCTTTGTGGCGCCAACCAGTAGATACAGTCTGCTTGGTCTGGAAACCTGTGACTATTAAGCAACAAAGCAACAAAAGCGGCAAGAAGCCATCATCCCGTTCCTCTGAGTGACCAGCCCTGGGAAGGGGCTTGCCGAACCTGGGCTTAATAT